ACACAAAGGCAGGGGGGTTCTCTCCGTCCCAAATCTTGCTTCAAATGAGAAAGTCCGACAGTAAGTTGACAAGTAATGAAATTTTGAGAGGAATCGGTCATGTTAAAAACATTTACCGCATTCAAAACACATTGCGTCGGGGCTATAAGCATTACAGGAAGCCTCACTTATGAGCCTAAACATAAAATATCTTCAGTTAGAAAACAACACGACACGAAATAAAGGGTACCACATAGTCAAGGACAATTTTCATTGGCATTTCGAATATAGTCAAACCCTGCTTTAGGGCAGTACTAATAAGTTAGTGAATGCTTCAAAAATATATACCATTTACAAATATATTTTACTTACAAGGGAGGCCAACATATCTGAAAGATTCGTGTGCTTCATTGAAGACCGTACACGTCTTTGCATTGAAGATAATGTACGTGCGATGCGACGGCTGTTGGAAAACCAGTCAGCAATTATCAGCCAGTAAATAGGATCTCCGCGAGCATTAGTACTTTCGCCCCCTCCGGCGAAAGAGCGTGTGACCAAACAACCTCAGAAATCACGTGATCTGATTGTTCTACCAACTGCTACGCATCGCCTGATCGAGCTCCCGTGAGGAGAGGCTGGTCACGTGGAATTATTTGCACCGTCTAGGTCCAGCCTGTAGGAAGCGACTTAATACTAGCCCGTGAAACCTGGTGCGCTACTTTTTTCAGTAGCTGAGGTGACCAATGGTTCATGAAGAGGGGACAATGCAATACACCATTTAAGACATTTCAAAAACAGGAATCCATTACGTCGCTTCGATAGCTTAGTTGGTAGTGATTTAAAGTACAGATCCATTGTTCCTGGTTCGAATCCGACCCATTTGTGCTATTCATTTTCTGATTTCATCATTGTGTTTGGGATTTCCTTTTTCAATTGATGCAGAAACAGAGTCCAAGCAAGAACCCTCTAAGAGTCGTGGGAAAATAGCAGACCAGGTTTCACGGGTTAATATCTAGTCACTTCCCCAGCTGTATGGCCTTGGGTGAGAGAGTCGCGGTGTTTCAAGCATGTATAGTGGGATTTTCCCGTGCATTTTTGGTTTTGCTGATGCATTTCAGTATTGTTGAATTCAGCACCCCCACTGCAGACCACGCCCCCAAAAAGGACACTATCTTCACAAAACAACTGAGAAGTCTGCCTAGGAAGGTCTCCGCCTGATCTATTTTGAAAGAAACAGAAAAAAGACATTAAATAGGGATCGTTTAACTACAACTAAATCTGAGGCAATTTGGTCACAACGTGCCGAGTTGTGTCAAAAAAGACGTAGGTGCCTCCTCGGAGGGGTTTAATTAACCTTAAAACAAGTCACCCACTTGGTCAAAAAATAGAATATAATACCCTCATAGTACACTTGCTCGCTTGGTACCAGAGTTTGAAATTATTGCTCTAGAGCTCTCTGTCTCCTTCGTGTCTGGATTACAGTCCTTTTCTTTCAGGGTTTAAATTCTATCCTCCCTCACAATTGTACAGATCTGCATGCCGTGACTTACACTTTTGAGATCTTGGAGGATTCGCAAGGTGAAACCTGGAGACCGTCCATGGATTCCATGGAACATGTACTCCGTGACTCCAAAGCCGATGTTACGACTTTTGGCGTAGATTCCGGTCACCAACTCGACGCCACGATTAGTAATGGCCACAGAGGGATCTAGAAAGACAAACGGAACAAAATGAAATGGGGGTCAAATCACAACATGCCATCTGGGGAGATTTAAAGCGTGTCACGATGAACAACAACGACTGTTTAGGGGCGGGTCCAGGAAATTTTCCGTGGTAGGGGCGTCAGGCCCGTCAGAATTTTTAAAATGTCCGATTATGAGCCCCGAGCTGGACCAAGAGAGAACTGCACTTCGCTGGTTCACAAACGACCATGAAATGCACGCGTTAGCGGCGCGTCGCTACCAGCAAAATACACTCCCGACAAATGGCTGTTTTCAACGGATGAGGGGGTGCTTCAGTCTGCTCAAGGCGGATTACGGACAGGTGGACAAATAGCATTGTTACTTATGCGCTTACCTTTATACACGTAGTAGTTACGTCATCTTGGTTTTTATTATGCCATCTGTGTTATTGATTACTTTTATTCATTTTATTTATGAATCATTTATTTTGGTGCCAGAGTGGTGGTGGTGGTGGAACGATATTGTCAAACTTTAATTACAGGCATACATATCATATAACTATTATGATACATAAGGATAGTAGAAAAGTCATGGTGAAGTTTTAGAAGTGATAGATGGATTTGTCTGACAAGAACAAGAAATGAACCACCAAATCTGGATACCAACGACCCGACGTCTGCTGCCTTACTGATGTGAATGATGAAGTTGTCGGCCTCGCAGCACTGGAATCTTCTCGGGCAGTGGCCACTTTGGGCGACCGGCGACACCAGCATCATCAGGCCCACCAGGCCCCATAGTGTCAGGCTGTGCATCTTTCACGAAATTGAATGGTGTCTAATGTGCTGCAACAGGCGTCGTCTAGCTGCCTCCTCTCTGAATACAAGGGTATTTCTATTAACCATTTCAAATAATTTCTAGACCGGGTTCAGAGGACCATAGGTTATTAGCCGACTTCCACTGAGCCTCTAAAAAGGGTCAACGTTTGCTCCCAAAGAGACAGAGGTAATACTTCTGGGCCACAATATGGATTTGTGAACTAAGGTACCCGGTGAATTGAACAGTTTACAGGCTGGACTTTATGTTTCTGGTGTTGCTATTATTTTCACGTCTATCAATTTATTTAAAATAACTGTTAAGAGGGGTTTTATCAGAGACTCACTCTTTCGGAGAATGTGTTTGTGCACTCTTTTATAACGAAGGATTAATCTCTCATTCAAGTGACACACACAATGCATTGAACAAGAAACTATAAGAATAGTCTCTCGACCATAAACAAACAAATTTGTACAAATACCGCAGTTTAATCCAGTATGTACACAGTTGTTTCTGAAAAATAACGAAACGCCAGACAGTAGTACAGTGTTTAAAGCCGCAAAGGGACAAAATGATAACAAGTTGACAACATATCGAACCACCATCATTCAATGTAACTGTGAAATTTAATTTAAATAGAGTTGTCTGGTGACCGGCTTTTGGCAGCCAGTCTAAAGCCGGAATGTGTCCCTGTTATAGGTTTTTAGCTCTTGACTACCGTGAGAAATTAAACCTTGGGACTGTTCGACAAAGTTTGTCGTTTCAAACTTAATGTTGATTTGGATTTTTCATTACCATTTACGACAAGACGGTTTTACGAGGAAATGGCGGCACTGTATTTTGCAGGTTTATTAGGCGCCACACGAAAGCCAACTTTTATGACTACTGCTCGCCGGCTTTGAATTTCCATTCAAACAATTACAACGCTAAAACACCCACAAACAAGGACCTCAGTTTTAGGTCCATCTTCAGTTTCTGCGTATTGTTGAAAAACAGCTGAATTCTTTTTCTAAGTTAAAGAGAAAATGGTAACTAATATAGAGTGCGTTTAATACAAGAATACCTTCAAAAACACAGGATACTATAGCTTATGCGGGTAATATGCTTTAATAATATTTACAAGCCGACAACGGCAAACTGATAACTGAGTATTTCTTTTTGCTTTGTTATTGAAGTGCGACGAAACTAAAAGTACTATTATCAGAGATGATCGATTTTCCAAAGGTTACTTTCGCACACAAAGCTGTATCTTAGATTTAGAAAGTAAAGAGCAATCAGGTTGCCGTACAAAAAACTAAGAAAAATTGGCACAACCTAAAATACAAAGAATACGTTTTACGCGAAAAGTGTGTACGTTGTAACGTTACACGGGCACACGACAATGCAGCAAAAGGTTAGGCACTTACACAATACCACAAAAGGCACAACATTTAACAATAGAGAACACTGTTGTAAAATAAACAAAATCATTACCGAAGATCAATGAAACATGTATGAATTACCATACAATTACCGTATTGGTTCTATATTAAAACAAATAGAATTTTTTTCACACTGTTGCTAGTCAGCTTATCAGTCAGATTCTCCAGATGTTAGCTGTAAAGTTACTTTTCACATTCTATCCGTTCTTAATTAAATATCTATAATATTTCGACGGACGTCTGAAGTTTACCTTATGAATGCATTCTGTATTGAAGCCTGTCAAAATATACCAATTATGAAGATCCTACTCGTATTTTAATCATGCAGCAATTACGTTTCACGTTTGTATTGGAACTCTTTTATAATGCTTATTTAGACGGTTCCGCTCTTGCACGGTATCTGTGAAGGGTAATTCAAAGTTGATCAATGATCACCCAAATGATTTCATGTTTTCTCTAAAAATCGATTTCCAAGAAAATCGGCACAAAAGCGAAGTAAACCTAATGGGTGTACCGTTGGACAACATCTCTGATTAGTTAATTTAACCTTAAGCTGTCAACCGAATTAACGCTGGTACCCGAAGGTCTAGATGCTAATGGCATTTGGAATCTCTCGTGGATTGAGGTACGGGTATCGAACGTTCCTTTTCGCATCACGTGACGCAATAGTTTCCTCAATTGAAAACAACTCCTGGAGAAATCTGAAAATAGCCAAATAAATGTAAATAAAGAAACTCATCCCAAAAATTACTTCTTAAAGAACACAAACCAAAGAAAATTTAAGGCAACATTAATCACCAAAAAGCCCCGAGACCGTACACAGAGCCAGGGTAAACGGTAAGCGCTTCTGGACGGTTGTACACCTCCTAAGGCCAAGGACACAGGCAGAATAAAGTCTATCATCGGGAACCAGCAGTCCGGCATCATAGAGAGAGAAATAACCACGAAGCAAAGATGTGGGTTTTAGGGCAGAAGACAGACAGCAAAGGCAAAGTTCAACGGGGTAGCATCTGCCTTAATTTCTGATAAGAGACGGTGAGCACAGTAGACTTACTCGGCCACCGCCTCCTTCCCGACTGGGTCGGTCTGGTAGATCTTCTCGAAGTTACCGAGCCGCCGCGTCGCTCGTTCGCTCAGGATTCGCGTGAAAGACATTGTATCCAGCGTGCGTTTCTTATTGGGCAAACTTTGTAGGATGTCGTGCTCTGTTCGTGGAGTCTGGGAAAAGGTATGACACGTGATCAAAGTTCCGTTAGTATAATTTAAGTTCAAAATAGACAATCTCTCCACTGGAGTGACAAGGAATTGTCATACCACGAAACTACCACAGTGTGCAATAAAATACAAACCGAGGTTTCAGCATCTCACTTTGACTTGATTTTGAAAAGGTTTCTAACTAGCCAGCGAAAGTCAGCAACGTGGCATGCGACCACCCAGCACCAAGAAGCGCAATGATAGTGCTTGTCCTCTGAGGAAGTGGGGTTTATAATGGACAGGTCCTGAAGGCCTCCGGGATATTTTCATCTGGCCTTGAGTCCCTGCTTAAGTATGTCAGTTGTACCAAAGTGGCCATTACCTTATCCTTTGGCGGTGTTCCGTTCATCCAGAGAGGTGCATTTGGCGGGAAGGCATACTCGTCATACTGGTTGAAATTGACCGCGGCATGTTGCACGCTGCTAATGAAGATGATGGATGTCAAGACGTCAATCAGCTGGTGGTTGGCGCTGAACCTTCCGTTGCCAGCGACTCCCTTCAGTAAAACAAACCATACTCCCAGATGACTTAACCAGTTACAGTAGCACGCACAAGATTGCAGACAAAAGAGGATATATGATTTGTGATGATACTTACACCTCAACCATTGCGGCTGGGGTATGATGTTGTATGCATTTTTTTTTTAAATTTGAGGTTTACTGGTGGTATGGGCCTACTTTATCATTCTTGATCAGTAGCGAAGGATATATGGTACTTTTAATGCACAGATTTGACTCATGACTTTGATTGGCCTACCTTAATACCACAACCTCCATTTTCAATGGGCTTAACGAGTGTTTCGGCAAACTCTTGGATTTCACTGTCCCCGCTAAGAAGTTCTGGTGTGTCTAAGTCACAAGGGTACAACAAAGTGGGCATAAATTTTCATGAATTTGTCTAGCAAAATAGAATGACTTTTATTTTTTTTTCAGGAATCAGTGAGGGTCCGGAGGCATTTAACTGTGTCTTATAATCCTATGTTTGAAAAGGAAAAGTCAGAAAAATTTGGAATTACTTCAGATAAAAGGTTATGGAGTGGATCTTAAATTAAGAGTGCTAGTTTCTATCGTGGTTCAACCTACAATCATGCTTCCAAAAGAAGGAGTTTCAATGGAGATGACCGTTGAAGGTGAGTGTTAAACACAGAAGGAAAAGTTAAGAGTACAGATGAAGAGCGTTCGTTTGATGGTGCGTTCAAGTTAAAACAGATTACAGATACTGGGGCAAGGACGCTGGTTAGGTATTAAAAAAATGAACCGTACGCGTTGCATAGAAATGAACGCTTTACAACTAACTCTCACTGGTGTGTTGTGGATAATGACTGTGCCAAGGCACAGAAAATATTGGGCTTACCATATCGTTTGTTAACCACAAACGCTGCGTACCGCTTGATGGCGCCGTGCAGCAAAAGGGCATCGTCCCTGTAGTGGTAACCGGGTAAGACATCCGGGTCATCCACCCCGCGGCTGCGAAGATCCTCTGGGAGGCTGCCCTCAACGCCAAGACGCCACTCGGGAAACACGCGCTGGACGAGTCCAACGAAGCCCTGGGAGCCAGCGTTGATGTTCTTGTCCACAATGCCACCAGGATCGATCAGTGTCACCAAGGCAAAACTTTCAGTCACAAATGAATCAATAGTTGTGATAATAAACTGTGCATATAAAGGCCTCACAATCTCTTAATCACCTTTACTTGTTAACGGTTATACTTAGCTCAAGTTCAAACGATGGCGCACTCAGGATTTGTTGTGGGGGATCTCGGACCGGAATCCACTCCCCAAATAGCTCCAGCCCCCCTCCCTTCAGAGGTGCCAAAGGAGACTGGAATTAATGGCTGTATCCTGTACCACAGCGACTTGTTTAAGGTGACGGTGTGTGTCTTCGTTTTAACAGACAGAAAGAAGCTCAAGTCCCCCAAGGCCCTCCTCTGCATCATAGTGTTTAAACCCTTACAAGTATGAAGAGATTCTATGATATTGATCCAATATTAATTGGCGTTTTCGATCGAGGCTGGCTGCATTGAGAAAAAATACAAAATCACCCACCTGTTTATAGCCATGACGTAGAGGAAGTGAGGAGCGAGGAGCTTGTAGATGGGGTGGGACGGGGAGAGGCAACGGTTGGCAGCTACTGCCATGGTCTCTGATATCAGATGGGTGAAGCCCAGATGAGCCACTGACTCGTGAACTGCGCCGTCGGCGTTGTTGAACCACAACTTCGCTAACATCCAGGTGTACTCCGGATCCGTCGGAAGGAACACCTAAAAAATAAATAATATCTATAAATAATAATATGATAATAAACAGAATAATAATACAGAATGTCTATAAAAGCATACATGTATATCTGAATTTCTGCTGGCTACTTTACCAGACCTTTAACCTGTAAGACCCAGATTTAAATCTCACAGTCTGAAAGCCGAATTAGCCTACACAAATCCCGGAAAGGCAAAAACTTAACACAAAGGAACAAAACCCTTTATCTCTTACAGTGTTGGTTTGGGCATCATTTGGGATGGGTTAGGTTGGATTAGGATGGGTTGGTTTGGATGAGGCTTGGCTGGGCTAGGTTGGGTTGGGTTGGATGGGGCTGGATGGGGTGTGCTGGGTGGAGCTGGGCTTGGTTTGGTTGGTTGGGCTGGGCTGAGTTTGGGTAGGTTGGGCTGGGTTGGGTTAGGCTGGATTTCGCAAGGTTGGGTTGGGTTGGTTGCGTTGGGTTGGGTTGGGTTTTTCTCGAACGGCTTTTTTGAATTGATCCTACCGGATTGTCTGACGATGGTTCCTGGTATAGTTGAATGGCTACGGGCATCAAAGTTTTGGACTGATTGAGGAAGAAGAGCGCAATAGGTGCACACACCTATAAAAGAAACGAGAAAAGACCTATAACAAATAAGAATCGGTCATTGAAAGTTTCATTCACTTGGCACTTAAACAAGCAGCATAAACGTTTGGCTTGGACACAGTTTTTGTTGAACTGTACATATTTAAAATCTAGGCGTGTTGGTTTTGTGGCATAGATTTGCGACAGAATACCTTTTAAAAGTGAATTTTTTCTTTTGAAATTGGAAGTCTGAAGTTTTGTATTCATAACTACCAGATTTTGGGCCTTCGGTATCAACGAATTAACACAGGAAACTTGTACAAAATTATGTTCAAAATTTCCTGTAACCCATTGGCCACTTCGCGCTATGTTGATTTCAGATGGATTCTGAGCATGCGCAGGTGAACATTATTCTCTTTCATGCGGACTGGTACAAAACAGACAATTTACTCTCATGCGTTGCCCCAAAAGAATGGAATCTTACGATTCTGTTGTCCGTAGTTTGGATATCTTTCAGAACACTGTAATTGACGATAAAGAGTTTTTTGCTTTGAATGGCCTCTTGAATGCTCATTCCTTCCAGCAGTGGCTTCATCATGTTGTCAGTAACAGCCAAACTGCGACACCGTGGAAAAGAAACAGAATATTGCGAGACAGAAATGTAAATGAAAAGGGTGTGTAAAATTGTAATAGTAGGCCTACAGGAACTGTTCTTGCCATTTTCAAAGTTTATTTTTCGCATTTTTCATTGCAAACCTCATGTTTTTAAGTATCATCGTGATTGCCCACAACTCAAAGCAGATGAAGGAGAAAGTATTCTCTACATTAATTTTCAGAACTTTGTGTTGGTATCAAAGTGTAATTTGGCCATTAGAGCCCCTGTTTGCACCACTTCAATAAAAATCACACACCCTTCCAATTTTCAGTCAGTGTTACATCACATTACCCTGTACAGGCATCTGCCGTTGACTTCAAATAATCCCATTGTCAAAATACTTGGAAAGAATGGATTTTGCCGAAAGAAACTCTTGTTTGTATCTGGTCGCAATAACAATTCTTACTTTGCTGGGATTTCTGTGCAGAGGCGAATCTGACAAGGGTTGCACCCGTTCAGCCTTTGGTTGGCAAACGATTCATCACTCCGCCAGTTATCGACTCCCTGGAATACCAGTGTAATTACTGTTGTAGATTAATTCCACCAAAGGATATTCATAACTGCATATTTATGAACAGTCAGCTCGCAACCCGTACAAGCCCTAATGTGAAGAAGCTAGAATGACATGCAATGACATAACAGATGGCAAAATCTTGCTACAGACGTCGGCAACTGCTCAACAAGAAGTTCCCCACAATTTAATATGCAAAATGATTGCACCAATTGTCAATGTAACGATATAAACTAAAACTGCTGTCATCGCGTCTCGCAGAAATCTACCATCAAAATGGCTTACATCAGTAAGCAGCTTGGCGATATTCCACGTCCACACATTCTATAGCTTACGTATGGTATGGGTAGCGTCTTGTTGTATACTTTGATGATGTCGTCAAGTGTTTCCCAGTTGTCAGTTGTTAAGTAAGTGGTTAGAGTATCGATTTCATAGATGGCGGCTTGCCTCGCTAGAACATCAAACTGTGATAAAAGAAAATAGAAACGGCAAAATATGTGAATAAAACACGAGTTATTTTCTGTAACTCTAGACATGGTGACTAAAACCTTTGAAGCACCCCGAGGTTGACACCGAAGTCTTAAAGAAGCTATTTACATGGAGACAAAAGTCACCCCGTTCGAAGACAAGGCAAAGTATTATGAACGAAGGCATTCTTTCGTCAACGTTTACCTTTTGCTCTAAAACTTGAAATTTATCTTTGCCGTGAGTAACTTGGGGACTGACTTCTTTTTGACGAGATTAAAGTCGCACCACGTTACATCTTTCTTTTTATATAACCTGCTGAATTTTGCGTTCGCTTTTTTTTTACAAATGGAAAAAGCTACAGACTCACAAAATATTTGTTCGAAAATTCCTGTTCGTCCGGTAGCTGAACAACCTAAATGTTAAGCAATAGAAAGAAATATAACAGAGTTAAAACTTTTGAGCAAAATTTTTAAATATATGCCTCGTTTTTGTGTGTGTGTTTGTTTGTTTGTTTTTTGTTGCATACTCCTGTGACAGTTTTGTTTACATGTATTAACCTAACAAAGGAAATAATCTTTGCCTTCGAACCGCACAGTTTTTTGATATTCAATAGCAGCCATTCATCTTGTGCAGTTTTTTCAGCCTTCGTCCTGCTTACCTGTGCGATGGCCAGCTCCCCTTTAAACTTCCTCTCCAGCTGATAGATCTGCTTCTTCCGGGCCAATTCGTCCAATCGCTGCTTGCGATTGGGGTCGTGCTCGGGTAGGAAGGAGTCATTCCTGGCGGCACGGAAAGTCTCTCCCTGCCTAATCCAGCGGTGAAACGGAAAGATGCTACCGCAATACGCCGGTAGGTCCTCGTGCTTGACTTCGATGGTTTCCACAAACCTTCAGCCACAACGAAAGTAATAATGAGGAAATTTAGGCCCTCAGCTTCAATAAGTGAGAGAACCAGCTTCAAATGTCTCCAAGTTTTCTTCAACAATGAAAAGTTTATGAAGGGGACACAAACAGTTCGAGCGGCACTTTGGAATGTAAAATGTTTTCCAAGTCACTATAAAAAGTTTAACGCCTGTTTGTACCAGTTCTGACACTTTGACCCCTCGGACAGCGTCAGCTCAATTTCTTCCACGGCTGCAGTGATGCCTGTCTTTTTCAAATAGAATGTATCCAGGCTTCCCCGTTCAAAGTCATTGCTCCAAGTACAGTCAAGCTTAACCGCAGGGGATGATCCAGAGGCGTTATATAATCTCAAGGTGACATTGGAGTCCGTTCCTGAACCCTGGCAAGAAATTCGAGACAAGAAATGCAATCATCAGAGAGGCACGGATCAGTTTGACTAGCTTGTTGGTTGCGGAGAAAAAGCCTTATATCAACATTTTCTGACTTGCAACTCGCTTATGAACTCTGACGTCAATGACGTAATTCACTTCAGCTCTCGTTAGCGTACTCTTTTCGTATGCATTGCTTTTATATCAACGATCTTCTCGCCTGTGGATTAACTTCCGTACTTGTTTACAAAAATTATGTATACAGTGTTTTAAAATTAGATTTTGAATGTTGTTGAGCAGTTTTATATGACATTGTAAGACAGTGGCAATGACAGGTATCTAAAGCGCTTTATACACTTTTTGTGAGAAATAAATGGCGATTTATGCAAAATTAAAGGCTTCTTAAAAAGGGCCAATGCTGGTAGCAAAGACGTAAGCCTACCTTGTAGTCACCCGTTTTGATGCAAACAGTGTACCAATTCGGCCTGACCCGAGTAACACAAATGCCCATTGTTCTCTGTGATTGTTCCTTCACACTGCAATAATGAGAGGTTTTGAAGATCTATCATTCGACAAATGCTACCGTTGCTGTATTATTCAACAGCACACGCGTAGTAAAACAATGTGACTGCATTGCAACTCGGCTACATAGGTAAGTGCGCTATCACTTTTTCTTGATTGCATATGGCGACGAGATCACTATCAAGAAAACCCAAAGAAAGAGAGACCACTTGCCGAAAAGGGCTGTTGGGGGGAGGAGGGTTAGCCTAGTTTCTTTCTTCATGTGCTTTTACAGACTAGGTGTCCTTATCCTCTTTAATCCAAGCATCTACAATCCTGGACAAAATTGTTGGGACACGTGTCATTAGCCATTTGCAGGTTCCTCACTCCCAGGGTCCATGTTGTCATCTCCATCAGCTGGAGCGGAGATGGCGCACTGAGACCTAGCATTGAGAGGGGGCCGGGGGTCGGGGCCCAAGGAGTTTTGGCTAGGATTATGTGAATTGGTATATGGTTGTCTATGGGCATGTACATGTACTATGTGGTTTTGCGTGTGCTAATTTCCGGCGTCGTTCTTGGAAAACATAAAATGGCAGTCGCCGGTTGAATAGAAGATATATGTTGGACAAATCGTACAAAAAAAGAAAAAGGAACAAACATACCAATGCTTCATTGTATGTGTACAATCACAATTGCTTTGTAGGAGTTCAATGTATACAATGTAACATGGCATTTTGGCCCATAAAAGTCCAAAATGGATGCGTTTCTGAATTTCATATGCAAATTCTGATACAGAAACAACTAAAAATCTTGTGGGTTTTTCTTATTTCGTCATTCCGTAAAATTGGCTCGAAAATGACTCAAATTAATATAACGATGTGTTGTGGCCCATCGTGTATATCGCACATGCGCGCCGCATTTGTGAGGGCATGCTATGCTCTCTCTTCGGTGAAGGTGAAGATATGCAATCATAACAGTTTTGTCTTGGCGCAGCATTTCACAAACATTTTATGCACTACTAGCTCAGTGTCCCTTAAAATTCAGGTTGTTGCCACTGTTAGTTAACAGAGTTGCGATCCGTGGAGTACCTCGCTGGATACACACATGCATATGGAACGTATAAACTCAGTCTGAATCGGTTCATAGTTGTGTATGTGCATACAATTATATAGGCTACATGTGGTTTTGCATGTGCTTTCCGGCGTTGTTCTTGGGAAACAGAAAACGGCAGCAGGCTGTTGATTAAAAGTTATATTTTGGACAAATTGTTCATCAAGAAAAAAAAACATATTGTACAAAATATAAGAAAAAGGAAGAATAATATCAATGTTGTGTTGTTTGTGTACAATCACAACCGTTTTGGGGGAGTTCATTCCTCCTTACTGTTCGCTCACACAGAGACAAAAATGGTCTCAGCACAGGTAAAAAGGGATAGTCAGTGATAGTTTGTGTCCTGTCTTTTCAATTCCACTTTGAAATTCAAGCATTAGATCAATGTCCTACCAGAAAGCTTTTAATTTCTCTTAAAATAACGCTTAGAGTTTGAACACATTTTTAGACACATGTTTGTACCCTCTTTTATACGTTTAACCGCGACATGTTTGGGTTTAGGAATGTGTTGAAATGGTAAACAGATTTCAAAAAGCTATGCACTTTTTAATAAACACGTCATGGGATTGAACGTGTGAAAAAGTAGGCATAAAATAGTGTTTAATCTCTAAACGTTGTTTATACAGTAAACAATACTTCGATCACAATTTTCATGTAAACCGGCATGCTTTCTGTGTTACAACCCAACAATTCACGCACTCCCTAAAGAAGTAAATAGATTTAAGAGAAAGCAGGTGGAATAGGCAAAGTTCTTTTTTTTCTTGAACTGTATTTTGTATTTTGTATAGGCCTACATATTAATGATACAAAGCCACCCAGGTACAAGTGTGATTGCATTGAAGTAGCCAAACAAAGTCAAGGCAAAACTATTCATCTCTTTATTTGAAAGGGAACGTGAAGTGTACAACGTACACTGCGCGCTCTCACAAGAATGGCTGTTGAGACGATAAACAGGGAATAACCGTGCCTAAAAATAGGGGACACTGTCATGGTAACGGTAAACAACGAGCGTGGTGGTCTCTAAATCGTGCACAGCGTTTTTAAAAAGCTGGTGTGTTGTTTAAATGGAGGAATTAGGGTAACACCAAATGACAATGCATATAGTAGATAGGAATTATTCTGTAATTATCAAGCCAGAAACGAATCAGATCTCTCCTGAATTGTATGACAGATCGATTGCAAGACTTAATAATTGATAAATTTGGGTTACAGTGTACATAAATTAGATGCATTTTTCGTACGTTATTCATTATGTGCATTTGTGGAATATATTTGAAGCATTTAGTCTTTGAAAATGCACGAATAGAGCGGTGCACTGGTATTTACAATATGATTTTAATTAGGAGACAAACCTCATTGATTTCCAGGTTTATGAAAAAGAACCAACCCTTCAGCCAATGTCAGTTTCATATAACTTGGGTCACATAACATGGAATAAATACGGGTGCACTGGACTTGGAACGCAGTAACAAACTTGTATATTTCTAGAGATCTTTGTCCGAAAATCTAATTGCGAGTGTCCTTCTCGCGTTTGTCTGTTCTCCAGACGCAAAAGTCTCGTGATTGATATAGTTTGTTAGTTTGCAAAAGTGCAACCATTGACAAAATGACACTTACCGCTGGCTCGGAGACTATCTAGTAAAACCTATCAGATGTTTGGACACTGACACGTTAGTTCTATCAATTCCCCACACTTCTGGTGTCACGCTGGTAACTCCACCAGCCTGATGTGTCCAAAACTAGTGGCAGACGACACACACTTCCCCTTAACACCAGTGTTAATTAAATGTTTAGCACCTCTGCAGTTGATCTGGATTTATTGCACTTGTCTGTAACTATTTTCCCCCACGTTAGCAACATACGCATGCGTGTGCGCCAAAGCTAATATAATAGCTAGTGATGTTGCCAAGGCCAAAGTTTAAAGGTGCAGTCACGATGAAGGCCGTATGGAGATCTTTTGAAAAGGACCCGAAGGCCGTATCCTGTTGCAAGCTAATCAATACACAACCGAGCATGCAAGGCCACCCTGAATGTTTTTGAGTTGCCGCTCATGAGTGTGGATCCTAGGGATTCTGCCATGCATTTTGCATCGAGAAAAAAAGGCTTTATTGGTGCATAGGCATCATTCTGTTTCAAAGTGTCCATAGGTGTAGACTAAGCTATCGAATTCCGAAATATGACCGAATTCTCAAATATAGTCAAAATGAGGATAAGTTGTCGCTATGTGAAATGCACAACAGGAGGTTTTTAAAAATGAAAAAAAAAATCACCACCAAATTGCACTTTTAAGCTGACCTGTAGTTTCTTCCCCCCCCCCAAAAAAAGGTTTACACTCACGGAAATCAGGATGTTATACACCATACACCGATCATCGCTACACCGGCCAAAGAGACGGGCTTATATGGAACTCCGCACTCTGGCTTGAAAAAAAGTGCAGGTGCTCTGAGTGACTGAATACAAGCCTGAGTACTGATGACGTCACACTTTGTTTACATGTGTGCTTTCTATGGTCCTCAGACCGAGTACCCCCACTGGCCCCATAGGAAAGTGCACACGTAAACAAAGTGTGACGTCATCAGTACATAGGCCTATTACGGTTTCAACCCTCGTTGTCTGCACGACAGCTTTAATAGAGAATCTGCTTCCTTTCTAAACGTTACTCTACAGAGGGCGCTAGATACATGCAGCGACTGGTAAACCCGTGATTAGAATAATCTGAATCCGAAACTTACCCGGAAAAAAAGTTGGACACAACATAAAACTTGGGGATGCTGTTCCAGATCTTGGGTTAATGCAGGGTGGATACCAGATTTTTGGCTGGGGGGGCGGGGAATATTTCTTCACATTTGTCATTTTTGCCGTTGGGGAAGTTATCCGTGTACACAAACTTAGACCCCTACATGCTTACCTAGGGGTCTTCTAGCCTTTAGACGATCCCCATCCTCCCCGCAAGAAGGCGCAGGGATGTGACCTCTGCAACGCTTTCTTCTGGATCTGTGCCTGATTAAAGATTTATTGAAATTCAAATTTTTAGCACTTATGCTTTCCTTTTTAAAAGTATTATTAAGAAAAAATTCGGCAGCTGGAACACTCAAAAATAACCCTGAAAATCCGAATACACGTACGTCATACGCAAAGTATTCCAAGCTTGACACGCTCAGATGTAAACCTTGTACAATATCACGTGCATACCCGTCAAGCGAACCGAAAAACGTAAAGGTAATTCATGGCCGCAAATGATTTGCATATCAATTCCTCTGCCAAATGACCTGTTACGCTTTTATGGAACCAATCGTACTCATACTCACAGCTTGTATTTGCCAAAGAATCACTCAACCGTGGAGGCAGGGATCGGAGTGGATTTTTTGGAGCGTTATATAACTCAATGGTATAGTCCCATCATTGAAGTCCTTTTGACTGTGGCTGCGCTCCTACGCACTATTTGGGTGTGAGTGCGTGTTTAGATGTGTTTCCTGGTTTGGCAAGGGAGGGAAAGTATTCTACCAGCAATAAAGTTTTGTGGAGACTATTCAGGTAGTTTTTAGATAAATCAAAGTTCTTGTGTTCAAGTTGTCTGAGAGCGTTGTTGTAAGCGTGGTAAGTGAGTCTTCCTGATGGCGCCCTACGTTGGGAAGCTTAGCTAGTTCACTTATAACATTAGCTGAAACGAAATAAAAGAAAGAATGCATATGCATGCAGTGCTGTCGAATGCATAGCAAAGTGCTTTCCAATTCGGTGTAAGGAATGTATAGCCTTTTGTTACGTTTAGCATAATCCCTGGATCACAAGCTCCAGTTGTGGGATAAAATCTTCTGCAATTTGATTTATTGTGAAATGAGAAAGCTACAGTTTTGTGATGGCTATGTGAGAATGCGGACTTGCCTTCAAAATAAAGACCATTCGGTTTTGCAGTCTCCCTTCCGCCAGACTGAAACACCGACTGCAGAAAAACAAACAACCTCAGTCGCTCTTTAGCCGACAAAATCCTCCAATATTTTCAAGAGGCAAATTCTTCATTCTTACCTGCCTATAGTGCCTCAGTTAAATGTTAATAGTCCCTACTTTTCAACAACTTGTAACTGAGAGTGAAGCCAAGTGGTTTCATCTTGATTTTGAAGTCAAAGAGACTAGACAGGTACTTGTAACACATCAGTGTTCCCATAGTAGGTTAATCAGTTGTTCCTGAAGAAGAAAATTTGAAGGAAAATGAAAGGTTAACCAGACTTTTAAAAGACGGTTAACTAATCAAGTAATAAAGAAGTGCTATGAATTCGGTGAAAATATAAGATTAAATCAGTGCTCTGGAAGTATATGATTGCCGAGCTTTCGGTAACTGAGTACCTTTCTTTAGGGCAAGCAGATTCAGTTCCACGCGTGCGTGCTCGGCAATCATATATTTCAGAGCACTGATTTAATCTTATATTCTTGTCGATATTCTGATCACGGTGCTACGCAGCCCTTCCATATTTCTATAAATTCGGTGTGTTTTCTTTTGTGTTTTTATTCACGGTATTTACAGTATTCAGAGTCCCGAATTGTCACACCAGACATCTGCCGCGCGAATTCTGTTGAAGAGTATGATACCTGAGACTAGAATGACAACATGATTGCAATCATGGAAACCAGTTAAGCCGCCTTCATGTTGTTTTGCACCTGGCAAACTAAACGCTCTGTCTTCCTCGTACGATTAACACAAGTTTTGTGCTGAAAATTGCACAGTACATTGCAAGTAGGGTTGCCTGCCACAGAATCGTGAATGGGTGTGCGTGCGGCTGCGGTTGGTCCCTCTCTGCGTGAAATTGAAGCTAGTTTACTTAGTGTACTTGTGGTATCCAGGGTTTTTTAACAAAGAAAAGGCAAACGTTTGCAATTTTGGATAAATTGGGTAAAAATCACCCCAAGGTCGTTTTTAGGCAAACTGCAAAAACAATGATCACCTACGATCTACCTTCGCTTTTTATCAGCATTTTGAAATGTTGACACATTTCCACATTTTGTTACACGTTTAACATTTAATAACAGTTTAAGTTAGTATAGACTGACAAAATGTTATGAATCCATCGATTCTTGAGACTTGACAGAAATACCAAGCTTTATAATCATCGCAAGTATTACTCTTAGCTGTTTCCAAACATCCACTTTGGTATATATTGGGAAAACTGTCCTTTCCGGTAAAACAGTTATCGATCTTATCTGCTGTTTAAGCGTGCATTACCCACTGCTTTGTATTTAATTATGAAGAGTTTCAGATCTGTGACAAATTAAAGACGTCTTCACTCGGTCTATTCATGTACGTACATGAAACTTGTGCAAGACTTGAATCTGAAAACCAAGGCCAATAATTATCGATCAGGAATGAGTCACTGCGTTAGCTGGAATGATCAGTAGGCCCACTTTGTGCCGCACGATGGCATGGAACTAGCTCCAGTCCATAGGCTAGATCATAGGTGAACGCAGTCGTTGTTTGGCCTGTTGAAGTTATTAGCTGCCTAAGCATGGGCGTATCTGTTGCGTAACGTCTCTCTATACATGAGTCCAGGGAATCAATAAGGATTCATAGGAAGTTGGACAAGCAGTCAACTGAGCCAAGGCGTACCCCTCCCAAACACTTTTGTGAACCTTTTTGACGAGATAATGCAATTTGCATAACCATGGTATAGTGTCAATAGGTTTGGTAGCGTAGGTGTGTGCCGTAGGCCTACGTGTAGTTTACTGCACAGTTTGGCATCAGCGAGCTGCGTGTAGTTATTCCATTCAGTTACAGCAAATCGGTGGCCCTGACCCAACTAATTTCAATAATAGCATTTATGGGGAATCACAACCAAAACAACGTAAGTATAGCTTGTAGAAAACAGAAAAATAAGATAAACTTATGTACAAAAGTTACTGATTTTAATCATAACCAAGAATGCGTCTATTTATTACAGTTGTAATCACAGTGTTTTGCTTTCTCTATAGTGTATTTTTCTATTCATAAATCCCTTTTTGGAAAAGAAAGCTAAACGTGCCTTGTAATTACCACTGTTCGCAACTCTCACATAATACCAATAATAGGATAACCCAACGTTGTAAGGAAATCCCGTATTTATCCATACATTTTCTCTAATTAAACTTCTAACAATTTATATTTTCATGGATTGCGTCTCAGTGTTGCATGCAGCGTCAAGTATAAAAAGCAGTGTTGAATCATGACAAGCAGCGGAGTTCTGGAACAGCACCGAAAACTGGGACTGCGGAAAAATGTTGACTTTCAATGTCAATCCGTCGAGCTAGAGGTGAGTGTGGCAAGTACCCGTGTACTGTACGTCTTCCATTGCACAGCTGAGGACAAGACAAAGGGGACCGAAGGCCATGTGTCACTGTCCTCGTTGGTCAGTCTATTGTCCTCGGTGGCGAGTGAATGTGATCAGTCCACAGCAGGATGGAATTATATTCTAACGATCGTTGCGCAAGATTCACTGAGCAAACAGTAATCTTGTACATTATAAAAGTTGTTTAGGAATTAATTATTAGGATACATAAAATCATTTGACGACAGCCCTTGAAGATGCACCTTTGTGTTTCAAATAATCTTATTTTCAATTTGTGTTTTTGTGCCTTTTTTTCAAATGTGAGTGATTATACCCAAGAGCAAAACCGTGATGTCATTCCTGACACTAAACCTCGATGTGGTATTGATTTGTACTCCAAAACTGCTGGAATATCTTTACATTTTGGTTGTGGTAAATTTGCCTTTCTTTTCTCATGGGACCGTGCAAGTTTGAGTTAAAAATTTATTAAATATAAAACGTGAGCTGAAGATAATTCGTTGCATCACAGCATTAGCGCCTCCACGAGTCAAGAACAACTTGGACAATTTGAATGTGATGTTTTAGATACGGAGAGTATAAAGATACACAGAAACTGTGTGTAAGAAATGTTCACAGCAGGGAACTTTTAAAGATTCAAAACAATCTTTGTTAAGGTGTCTCAAAGCTCAACATATCGCTCCATTTCCCAATTGCTCAAAACTATCCATCTATATTGCGTGCACAGCATATAAATATGTATAGGAGTTTGATGGCAAAATAAGTGCGGTGCTTAGTTTCTGAAGATTCTGAAGTTTCCTGCAGTCCACTGAGGCAGATCTATAGTGTTTATGACAGCGTACTCTACCAGTACTTAAAAGATCTACCAACGTTTAAAATTGTCAAATTAAGAAGTTTAAATCCCACATTAACAACCTTCTGTATGCTCACTTAAGTTGGTTTCTTGTCTGTTTCGGTGAATAGGGTACATCTGAACACGTAAGGGTCTCCACGCTGCTGCCAGATGGGAAGCCTATCTCGCGGTTTTTTGAAGGGGTCGAGTCACTCCACGACTGTTTCATGCGTGGTTTAAAACTCTCTGGTGAGTGATTTCCTTTTCTCAAAACGATTGGTAAGGTTACCATCAGGATAAAGTGTGGTCTCTTGATATGGTATAGCGTACAGGGAGGGACGGTTTCAGTTCTAAAGCGCATTATAATACTTTAGACCTCTATCATGAGGCAGCCATCTTGCTTTGAAATTCCTAACTGATGCTGGAAGGAAAAATACATTTAGTTTGTTCCCTTATTCAGGATGTAAACTTGTATTAAGATTGCCAATGTATCTAGAGGGACCCAGACGAACACTTTTTGCTGACTGTAGAAGGTGATTGATACTAGTGGGACATGACAGTTTGCCCACCGTGTATATTCCGGGAAGGATCAGAGTAGTCACCCCCCCCGGGCACAGTGGTGCATATTGAAGTATTCGAACAGTTTATTTGGCTGAAAAGGGGCCCAAATTAAACCCATGAAGGAAACATCCTCACACGTTCAGTACCAGAGGACCATGTTGGACTAGGTGTTGGGGAGCAGAAAACATGTCCGTCCCTAAGACGAACGGTGGTATGTTAGTCACAGTACATTTCCCTAACAGTATTTTTTAATCTCTTACTCATAGCTAAGAATCCTTGTTTAGGATGGAGGCCCAAACCTGATGCTCCCTATAGCTGGACTACATACGAAGAGGTAAGCAATTGTGGAGTCTTAGACATAAGTACATATAAATGTAATGATGCTTCTAACAAGTTACCGTAATAAACGCAAACACTTCCATTCTTTTCTCCAATTCACAAAAAGCCTGATTAATTTGAGGAAGCGAGATTAAGTGTTGCTTTCCACTGCGAACTTGTCAAAGACTTTAGAAACTTCCGGTGTTTACAAAATCTCGCATTGACCAGGAAAGTCATTTTTTGCAAAATTACATAACGGCATCAAGTCTTACAAGTCATGCAAGAAAGACCCACACAAAAGCAAAACAAACTCAGCATTTGGCTTTATTCTTTACGTGGGAGTTTGTCCCCAGTATGACCAGAAATCACGTGATGCGTTCGTTCTACCAAATTTTAAAATTGTTTGCACTTTTTATACATGAAGGTTTACCTGCAAGCCAGAAATTTTGGCTCTGGCCTAATCAAGAGCGGCACGCCGGCAGGGAATTCTACTTTCATCGGCATCTACTCCCAGAATAGGGTGGAGGTGAGTCAGCCAGAACATTAACAATTAAATATTGGAAATCATTTATCTTAAAATAATAAGTGATTAATATTACATGCAAACATTGTGTTCGGTAGAAAGAGTATCACTTGGAGATGTTTGAAATTCCTCTTAGAGACCAACCCGTCGTTCAAAATGACAAATATTGTACATTTATGAATGCATAAACAAGAATAGTATTTGAATGTGAAAGTTTTAACCAGTGTGTTAGAATATTCAAAAAGTATAAGCTACCTGCACAAAAGTGTGCTCAGATTTATTTTCTAAAAGTGCACAAGTCCAGGTGGTTTATTAAAATAACTTTTTTGAACGGGGGGGGGGCCTTTAGTGAATATTAAAGCTGGAAGTAACGGGTGAAACAAATTTCATTTTAGACTTAAAATATATCGCATTGCTCTTTCTGTACTTTTGCAGGAAAGCTTATAATGTGTAAAAGCATGACGCCGTAGTCATATGGTCCATTTGAGACGTAGGCCTACATGTATTTAATTTGAATTACACTGAAAATGCTGCAGCCTGATTTGTTCACAACCTCCAGAAACAATCATCTGCTCTTGTTATTCCAGTGGGTGGTGACCGAGCAGGCTTGTAACATGTATTCCATGGTCATTGTGCCACTGTATGATACGCTGGGACCGGACGTGTGTCAGTACATCGTTAACCAAGGTTTGTATTTCGCTCTTGCGGATTTTTATTGGAATAACACTTTCCTCTCCTTGTTCTTCAACTAAAATTTATTCATTCTGTCATAAGTATTTTGCTTAGGCAAAAAAAGTTGTGTCCATAATATCAGTAGAGACCACAGATAGATCAAATGTAATTGAGGATCAATTGTGGACCAGGTAACCAACGGCAAAAATAATCAGAAAATACAATGAATTATTATTTTGAATCTTTGTGCAGTTGAGTTGACACTCGTTGTGTGTGACACGACGGCAAGAGCCCAGCTGTTACTGGATAAAGCGGCAGATATGCCCGGGCTGAAGAAGATCGTTCTGGTGGAGGAGGCTACAGATTCGGTTGTGGCGAAGGCTGCAGAATGCCAGATCGAGATAGTACGCTTTGGAGATGTCCTGGTAAGTCTTTAACCCAAAGATGTCGAATCCAACAAATCCTATATGTGATTTGCGCTTACCGTCGGAGGAATGTCTACAGATAGTGGTTAGTATTTGCTTGCTCGACCAAAAAGGGAAAAATAATGTCCACAGAGATGTGTCGTATCTGGAAAGGGCCGTGTTGAATTAATTCAGGTTCTGATTCTCTGCCAGTGTTACGTTCGCGTGTTGCATTCAGCTCATTTGAACTTAAAACTTCACAATGATATCTTAAAGTTGACGGGAAAAATACCGGGGCAACTAAGTGGCGCTCCTTATCCGAAAGGATGCAACGCTCGGTCTTCCACGACAAATAAAACAACGGTTGCACAAGATACCAAAGAAGTGACAAACGGTTTTCTCTCTGTCATGCCTCAGGAGCTTGGTGCCAATAATCCGCAGGAGAAAGTGGTAAGTAGGTCAGCTGCAAATATAGGGTAAGAGAATCCTGTCTACATCGACATCTGGTAACCACTTTGAGGATATTTTGCGATTATGAAGTTGGTAATACGGAAACACCCGATCACAAGCCAGCGCACTTTCAACTGTTGCAACGTGGCGACAGTATGCGCTCTGGGTTGAGTTCCAGTGTTGGAAATGACAACCATAGAGTACAGGGCTGCCGTCCACACATGGAAAGCTTGACTTCACAAAGTGAACTGCGCAGTGCTTTTCTTGCCGTCTGCTATCACTTTACCTAAAGTTTTACTATATGGAGACTGTGCCCGCTTATTTCCTGCGTTGTATTTACACTAAATCAGAGAAATTAAATCTCAGTCGAGCATCCCATGAGCTGCCTCTTTTTCTTAAGATTCCGTATCAAAATATGTAAGTTGAGTTGAGTTTATACACATGTACTTCTTTCTTTGTTTAGCCACCGAGCTGGGAAGACCTTAGCACACTGTGCTACACAAGCGGTACAACGGGCAACCCGAAAGGCGCCATGCTATCACATGGCAATATAGTGTCGTCTGTCAGTGGCATGTTTGCTGTGGCTGGGGTGAGTAATACCTTGGAGACAGCAGTTTGCATGGAAAAGCAACGAAGCTCTCTGTTGCAACAAGGAGCAAGTGAGGTGAATTCTCTGCTTCTATATGAGACAACAATCTGCCCCAGACAGTGACAGGCACAATGTTGATCCCATATTACTGGTTACGCAATTTTCTTTATTTTCTTCACTTTTGATTGCCTGTGACAAAAAGTATCGATACCAAATTCCTAGCGACTGCCACTTCTCAACACAACATTCTGTCTCGAAGCAGCGTTGAAAATGTCACAAGGACATTGAAAAAGGTTTGCCTCAGTAAACTACGCCAAGAATACATATTACCTACGTCATTGAACCGTGAAGAGGTATAGACATTATTAAATCCTGTTTTTATAAACTTGACGTTGTGCTGTTTCGTTGAAAACCTTTGATAGGTCAAGAATTTGCTTGAGTTGTACACGGATGATGTGCATATATCTTATCTTCCTCTGGCTCACGTCTACGAAAGGTTTACACAGGTAAGTCGCTCAAAATCATTTTGTCCCTGGGGTGGAACGACTGTATCCGTTTCACCCCTTCGAAGCGCCAAGAATTGGTCATGCAGTAATGATCACATCATCGAGAGGCAATATTTCGAGTTTAGCGGTTAAAGTAAAAATGTTTTTTCTCTACAGATTCGAAGAATGAGGGAAGCACATACTTGTCATTTTTCGTATCTCTTTTGGTAGGCTTGCGTCTTCGCGTGTGGTGCACGCCTGGGCTTCTATCAAGGAGATCCGAAGAAGCTTGTGAGTGACATAGCGGTGCTGAAGCCCACCTTGTTTGTCTGCGTGCCGAGAGTCATGAACAAGATTTATGACAAGGTATTTCTTTACCCACGAAAGCAGAGGGCCATCCAAAAGATCAGATATTAAAAATTCAACAAGGGACATGAATGATTTACTGGTGGGTTGAGGGTGTGCATACGAGGCAATGCCCTGGAGGGAGTGCTTTCAAGAAAAGAGAGGACGACTTTTGCCTTCTTTTTCTTTCTTTATTGCCCGAAGAATATAAACACCCCCACACTTAACCTTGCGCCTTAGAGAGGTCATAAGTATCACATCACCCAACTGTCAAATATTCACCTCCCCAAAAGAGAAAACTCAAACGTTTTCTACCCTTCTCGTGAGAAGGAAGTTCTAGATCGAACCTTGCTGCCAATACTGAAGTTCTCTCCCTCTTATCCACGACTTAAATCACCCCTCTCAAGTGCCAATTATATACTTACCAGCAAACTGTGTATTACTTTTCGCTAATCGAACACAATTCATAGGTAACTAATGGAATTGCCCAAAAAGGATGGCTGACGAACTTCATCTTCAGAACGGCACTCCGCAAGAAAATTAAGGAAATGGAAAGGTGAGGACACAGAAGCCGATACTGTAAGAGCAACCAACAGCAGCGTATCCAGCTTTTAGCGTGGGGGGGATCCAAAAGGGAAAGCAGCTTGGAGCTCATTCAATATGATGTTGTGAAGATAAAATCAAAAGCCTTACTCACGGTCCCGACATCCTTGCTTTTATTTGCTGGATTTGATGTTAAAATTTGACTGATAAATAAACCGAATACTTTCTTTCCTTCTCACCCATTCTTTGTAATGTAAGCTGGATACGCCACCGGCACGCAACAAATATGCATTGATACCAGCGAAGCCAAAAAAAATTACCACAGCCTGTGACTGCTCAATGTTTTGCCTTTGGCATTTGTGACTTAGCTTGAAATAATTCATCCATTCGTAAAAGGCCTTGAGACAAAATGAGACCGAGTGAACAGAAATGTAACAAAGATATAGGCCTAGTTAAAGATTAACACCAACACAAGTATAAGAAAAGAGTTCGCAATTCTTATCCAATTTTATGAGGCAGATATTATCACTAATGGTCCCAGTTTTAGGTAATAGGTATCATTTGTATGGTTGCAAATTATTTTATCTTTAAAGTAGCAAACATTTTAAACTGTATGTTTTATTGATTGATTGATTTTTTTGCAGTGGTAAATTTGTCAATGACGGCATGTGGGACAGGCTGATGAAAAAAGTCAGGGTAAGCCACATCAATTTCAAGAAAATGAAATTTGTCAAGTCCTTGTCAGATAATCGAGGTTAGCGTGCCATTATTTGAACCGAAACTGCCCAAAGGTTTCCAAAGATAAAGTAAAAAGCAGAGGACTTTTTGTAAATGTCGTCTGTTAATTCACAGCACACTTTCTATAACACGACAGTTGTGCAACTTTCCATAATAGCAATATGATCTGGCTATTCGTTGCGCCTCTGGCCAGTTGCTTGTTTGCGGATATCGTTCTGTTTAGGCAGTTACACTGACGGAACTTAGTCGAAGTAATTTGTGCGTTCATAATTATAAACAGATCACCACTCGAGGTTTTCAAAAGCAGAAGTTATACTCTCCCACTTTGCCTCATCAACGAGCCAGTTTTTGTTCCTTGCACAGCGCCGAACCTACAGTCTCCTTTTTCTCCTTATCTTCAGAACCTTTTAGGCGGCAGAGTTCGCTTCATCACCACTGCAGCTGCCCCGGTTTCCCACGATGTTAAGATGTTTTTCAGATGTGCCTTCGGTGCTCTGGTGAGACAACTGTCTTTTTCATTGAGAGTTGCCTTGCTGGAAAAAAAAATCCAATCGACAGATCCACTCAGCTAGCCTTGCCCACCGTGCACGTGGGCACTTAACGCATGTTCATTTTCCAGCTGCGCGCACCATACGCGCGTACTCTCATGTCAGAATTACGTGGTCGGACATATTCAATCCAGGCCTGTAATTGGTCAGAACATAATAGGGCGGGCCTGGCTTTATGAATTCTTCTATAACATACCCCCTTTCCTTGAATTCTTAGTTTACGGAGGGATACGGGCAGACGGAGAACGGAGGAATGGCCACATCAAGTTATTTCCGAGATATTAGCCCCGGTCATGTTGGGTCACCTTCTGTGAATTTCCTCTTCAAGCTTGTTGATGTGCCCGAGATGGACTACTACGCTGACAAAGATCAGGGCGAGGTAAGTTACTAGCGTGCCCACCCCCGGAAAGTTTCTGAAGTGGAATAATTTTAATAACTTTGCGCTGAAAACTTCCAGCGAAACATCGCCGTGTACCAAACACCACAGAGTACTAGCGAAAGGAGCATTGTTGACATTATGAATCAAAGATAGGTCTTATTAACACCGAAAACACCGCAACAAATAAAACAGGCCTGACCGTATTCATTTGTTTTGATTGAATAGATTTGCTTGAAAGGGTCTGGCGTATTCAAAGGGTATTTCAAGGACCCAGAGAAGACTGCGGAGGCTATCGATGCTGAAGGATGGCTCCATACCGGTGATATAGGGCAATGGATGCCCGTAAGTGCTGCCTTTTAAGATAACATTCATCAAATTTGGGCACACACTGTTTTACCTATCGATGCGCGTTGCTCATTTTTCATGTTTATCGCTGTAATGTACATGTGTACAAATTACGGAAATTGCCAATCATAGGTGAGTTGATAGATTGCAGCTTTATTACATAACTAAATGCTTTGTTCGAGAATGTATACAACACGAATGCATATGAATTTGAAATACATTTGTCACTGTTGGATAGAGCTGTTAATTATGTTCGAAGGTAAAACATGCTCTTTTGGCGTTCTCTTTATTCTGGCCTGAGACGCCAGAAACCAGAACGCTCGCAGCTTCAGTCGACACTGCATAACTATGATCCATAGTCTACAAACCTATAGGACATTACACTTACTGCCATATTGAGGGCGTAATTATCTCTGATACAAATTGTCCGTTTAGGGGCCAGAAATTGTTTTCAGTCGCACGTGTTGCCTGAGATTTCTTGTCTCCATTTTTAGAGTGGACAGTTGAAGATAATTGACCGGAAGAAGCACATATTTAAGATGGCGCAAGGCGAGTACATTGCTCCCGAGAAGATCGAGAACATTTATATCAGAAGCGAATACGTGGCTCAGTGTTTCGTGCACGGCGACGGTTTGCAGGTAAGAGGCATTGTGGTTTGGAGCACTGATGAAAAATCAATGGTTTTGTTGTTTTTTGAAAGGCAATTTTGTTTCAGGTTTCCCTGTTCGCTTTATCGCTTGGGATGTAGGCCTATCCTTGTCATCGATTATTTTTCCACATAAAGATGAACCGAAATCAGTTTGTTCTAAAATAAACTGGTGTGATGTTCAAAAAAGGGTATACTCGGGGGTTAATTTTTGAATGTCAGTCCTTAAACATTCATGTTGTTGAACATTAATTTGGATATTTTCTCCAGTCTAGCCTTATTGCCATTGTTGTCCCTGACGAGGAGGTGCTACCAAAGCTTGGCAAAACCAAAGGAATTCCGGGAGATTTCAAGCAGTTGTGCGCCAATGAGGTAGGTCACCACAACATGCATGATCGTGCTGTTCTCTCTTATGCGGGGGAAACTCCGACAGGCTTTTTTAAATTAAGGAAACTGGTGTGAATTTATTACCGGTAGACGCGGCCTAAAATAGGTATTGTTTATTCTTACCATTAATAGGTATAGATGCAGTATATATGTGATGTGCACTGGCCTATCAAGGTTGTCAATCCAGGGTGGGACAAGGTGGATTTCTTTCTAAAACAAAGGCCCAGGTTTTGTAAATCCATCAAAAAATCTCTCCTCAGAATGGTTGGTAGTACAGCCTGTTGAAAGTTTGACCCCATCAATTGCCCAAAAAGGGAAAAGTTCCCCCTTGTTTCCTTATGTATACGCCAATGACGGAAGAGGCCTTTTTGTGACTGTTTTGTAATAAGGTGTGTGTAAATAATTTCCCACACGCGAATTGGTGAAGACACTAAACGTTTCTTTGCATTCTCGATTGCTCTGCCTGAGAAAGCTCGAAGCATAATTCTGGTATTGATCAGGTCAATGAAGCCATACAGCTTGCTTTAATTGATGCAGACTATCAAGAAGGCGATCCTCGATAGCATGCAGAAAGTTGGGAAGGAAGCCAAACTGCTAAGCTTCGAGCAGGTAGGTTCAGTTTTTATTAGCGGCTGGTAATCATTTCTCTTTCTTTTCAAGTATAACCTGCTGCTACCAGCATGCAGTCATAAGGAAAGTGGGCTTGGTTGGGATTCCTCTCCACATGTGTAGTATAGAAGTATCAATATTTTACCAGTACACGCAGAAACTTTGAAAATACGACAACATTTTTTAATGGATTGTCAATGACATCTGAAACAGGTGAAAGACATTTATGTGGAGTCTGAGCTGTTCAGCATTGAGAACAACCTGCTCACCCCCACGTTCAAATCGAAGCGTCCAGTTCTGAGGAAACACTACGCTGTCCAGATAGAAGCGATGTACAAGCAAGCCCAGTTCAGCAGGATGGACAGCGTGCCTTACGACACGCAGAAGTAATAACAGAATGGAAGAAAGCGTTCGATTAAGCAAAAGACTTCACTTTCCTCATTATGCACTTTGTGAAAACACATTTTGAAAGTTCATAATAGCCGAATATTAATAATTCAGAGAACTCTGATTAATTGAATGACGCAGTGGATGAACGATGTGATGGCCTTATAGAAACATGAAGGTGAATAACCTTCTACCCATTTGTCCAGTTTGAAACAAATTCAATAAATCTGATGCTATGCCTCATTCCGATTATGTAAAAGTTTTGAGGGCCCTTGCCTTTGTATATCATGAGGAATCTAAAAGGCGAATCTCATATTTCGAATCTGTCGTTCATTTTTTTGCAAATTATTTTTTCTCTCCAACATTATGTTTAATAAGCCAAAAGCCGCAGTCGCTTTTGAATTCCCCCCACGCCAAAAGCGGGATACGCCGCTGCTTAATTGGCATAGTATGAGTAGAGAACATTGATGGGAAGTCGCGAAAGAGTTTTTCTGTCACCACTGAGCTCAAATTGCATGTGAAATACATGTATACCTCCCGTTTCCGCATCTCACCTTCAGTATATGGTACGAACACGGGATTTGTGTGTCAATGTCCTTCAACCCCCCCCCCCGAGGTCGTATGACACTGAAGTCTTTGGCATGAAAAAAAATGGTGTGACTATTTGACTTGAGAGTTGATTTGTTGCGATAAACAACATCTGGTATGTTCTAGAGGTGGTGTAAAAATGGGTACTAACTTTTTAATGATTGTAAAATTATGTTACTGTTAAACATTGTATGTATTGTATGTATGCTGTATAATGTCTATGTCCATCTTGCAGAGGATTTTCAGCCGAATTCCAATGTTTGAAGAAAATTATGTGCAGTTGGCATTTTGCATTCAACCCTTCATTAATGGGTACATTTCTTCGTATTACTTTTTCCCTCCGGAATTATGGCGCCTTACAAACTACATAACCGTTCTGATATGCAGTGTGGATCTATTTTCTGGTTGCAGACTTGCCTTAAGTGGTAATATCTCCCCATAGAAATGTTAAAAGAATTCATGTTCCAAAATGCAGTTGCGGTTGAAACAAATGTTACTGACGGAGTTTATATCAAAATAACCCTTGTGCTGTATACATGTACATATGTTCTGTAGAAACATAAGTAGGCCTAATCGTGTATGCTACCCCAGCAGTTATCCTAAAAGAACACCAGAAGGTATCAGATAATCCTAATTTAGTCTTTAAAGTATCAGAAACGACTTTATTTTACTTTCACTTTCTGCGGTTACTGTTTTTCCCATCCGTCAGGTGGAATACTTCAAGTTATGATTCAAACATAATGGTACAGTGTATAGTTAATCATAATACAAAATGCATGAAATTTTTGTCAGTGGACTCGTTTTTTCCTTTTGTTGGAAAAGAAAGATGGAAGAGGACAGAAAACGAAAGAATATAAAAAGTCAAGAAAGTTTAGAACCAAAGTTTAAAATAAAGGTTTATATGGGAAATCTATACCTTTGGAATAAATAACCTAGTCCAGTTTGTTTGACTTCGGATGTTTCCTAAACATCTCAAAGACACGAAAAAGATTCTGTAGACCTCAAAAGGAATATCAACTAATACGGACTTCATCCTGTTCTGAAGTATTCACTTTACCGCGGAATACTACTTTTACATCCCACCAGCGAAACTCGGATACTGGAGAGATTGAGCCACACGTTCTACGCGAACGCGAAAGACATTATGAGCACACAGACTTCTCGCGTTCACTTTCACGTTTTCTTGCGTAACGGGTTGTCAAATTTTCATGCAAGAAAAAAATTATCTAACAGCTGCTTCCATTTCTTTGGAGGAAGCACTATCGCGGTACTAGATCATTATCATTTAGGAAAACGTTGAAAAAAATACCCCGTTGAAACTATCCCGCCCAGTAGACGCAGATCTACTGATGAAATCTCTCCGGCCGGTGGTATCCCCTGATAACGAAAGTATTGAAGTGACGTCAAGGTGGGATTTGTCTGTTCTGTAATACGATCAGCCGCTGATTGCGGTGAGATAAGTCCCCATTTTCAGTGTCTCCATCGGAGGTATTGTAGTCGAGTGAATGACCCCCATCGGAGAGTTTTCTCAAACGATGGATGAACCGCCGACGAGGGCTACATAGACATCTTCTATCCCTCGCTTGAGTATAGTCCCCATCTTCTAAGATTGAATTGCTATCTATACAATGTCAGCGCATGCAGTTCTTTAAATGTTTCCCCTCTTTTTGGAGTCGACGACATTGTTATGGATGAGCAGCGTTTGTTGCTGCATATCATATTTTTGCTCATTATTTCTGTAAAAACCACTCCACTTCGGGCTCGCGTTGAAACCTTAGACCCTAATGTTGATGTGCACGATATCAAGCCACCGTAATTTTCAGTTGCACATAAATGGGAAAGAATGAGCAGCATGTTTTACTCACCCAGGTCAAAAATCAAATTTTTTTAAAGTAATTGGAAGAGTAAGTTGACAGGAGAAACTCAGGCACCCCAAATCGAATGCAAGTGATTTTTTTCTTTTTCGAAAAAGAAACAGATTCTAAGACTTCACCCTACTGAAAATTGGAAATGGGCCGCCAAACTCTTGCCAAGCTTGGCCAAAATTCCTACTGCTTTGAAGACTGTTCCAGGACGGTATCTACCTTCGCGCGAAAATACTGATGTTGTGGATGACCCCAAGTCGAAATCCGATCAAAATATCAATTTGAAGGACTTCTTTCAAAATTCCCAAATGTGGCATGGACCTGAGGCCACTCAATTTACTCGATACGAGCCTGTTTATCAACTTTGCTGCGTATATAAACGTGTCGGTCAGCTAGCCACGTACAACTCCGAATATAAAGCCACCATTATAGACACACTCCCGAAACATCAATTAATTTACACCTGCTCTTAAACTAATTTCAGTTGATAATGTGATTTAGTATTCAGACTGAGAAGCGAGATCGGTCTAAAAAGGAACCACATGTGTCAGTTTCTTTACTTTCTACTGTTGACAAATGCTGGCTCCACCAGTGACACGTGATGTAGTCGATTTCGTGTTCATGACGTCAGCAATTAGGAGGATATAAATTCATTCCAATCTGAAATTATTTCTTATTTCATAAGTCGCTTCGTTAAGGTTATGCTCAGTTTGAATCCCCCGAAATGACTTGTGTGACAGCTTTTTATATTTTTTTTTTAAAAAAGAGTGACCGCAACAAATGGGTCCTCAAACTTTCTGAGTTTTGACATTTGTAGCCTGGTAGTTAGGGGAGGTAAATCAGCAGTGTCAAGCTGTCCAATGTCCAATAGAGTCTTCGTGATAGTGACTGACTAGCGATTGCATTCTGTTGGTAATTGCTTATACGATTGTCTTAGTTAAGACTCTATATTTGATTGATACTCCCAGTGGCATAAATCTGTGTTGGTAATGGAGGGGATCGGGAAAGGTGAGGGGATGACATGCCCGGCCATGGAAATTCGAAAAGCGGGGGGGGGGCACTACATACATTAAATAAGGGCAATTTTCATGATGGAGATGCAAATCTGTAATGTATATCAAATGCATGCGGAATCTTACGTCAGAATGGTATATTTATAGCTTTTTAAAATTGCTTTTCCTTTTTGGTGATAATTATTGCAAACTTAGTAGTCGTTGGGAAACCCTGTAAATTCTTCACAATCCACTTAAATTTTTTTTGGCTCCTCACAAAAAGTGGGGAGGGGGGATGATTCAACAGCTCATCCTCCACCTCAAAAAGTGTGGGGGATATATACCCCCATCCTCCTGGGAATTACGCCGATGGATACTCCACTGTCAACCTGACGGGAATAAGTTTACCAGTATGTATAGTGAAAGCACCATGCATAAATTACCTTGCTGGAACTTCTTGTGGCTGGCGTGTTGCGATGTTTTTACATAGCCCCCTGGGGTAGCTAGGCTTGAATACAAGGGTAGAATCGTGACCCTGAAGGAATATGCTGAAATGGAACAGAAGTCCGATATTTTAGGGGGGTGGGGCTTCCACGACAGTACGAAGATTATAGTCTCATTTCAAGAGAGTGGTAATAAAACCATTTGCTCGCAGGAAATGACGGGTGAATCCTCGGGCTATTGCTTCATAAAAAGAAAAATTGCTAGCGGTCCATCCGTGAGGCCTTGCATAGATGCTGACCCCTGTGCTTATCCAATTCCACCTGTTCCAGACGGGAAATGAACAAGATACTGAATTCTGTTCATTATCCCCACAAAAAAGGTTTCGGCTTTCGACCTTGAAGATTGGACGTCACCAGAGATGTGGACGAGGTGAAACTGGTCTGGCTTCCTGGAAAGATACGTCGCCAATGGGGAATCATTGCATAAACCGACGACTAAGGACGGTGTGATTGGCACAGCTGAAATCAAATTTCATAAAGCCAAGCAAAGTGAGAACAAATTGAAGCTCTCCGTTATCCCCTCTGATCACACTTTGGTTGGTTTACAGTGGAATTATGTCACGTCTCAACTGTTTAGTCGAAGTGTCTCCCGCAGGGCAAAATGTGAGACTTGCAAGCAACATATACCACGAATGACCGACTGAATGGGCATTGCTCCAATTTGTTGGCTAGGGCGTCAAATTTCCGGCATCGACCGGCGACAGGCCTTAGTGCTTAGGCAGAACGGCACATTGTATTTTTCTATACCTTTTTATCAGACTCAAAATTTCGATTTCAATATATCTCATGTACCAATATGTTAAATAGGAAACGTACCCTATACTGCACGCGAATAAGCTAGGCCTGTACCAACGTTGACAAAACGAGCTCGGTTGTCGTTTCTTTCAAATGAAACCAATTCTAAGGCTGCAGATTTGACACTAGAAAGTGGGGAAATCAAAAAGTCTTCAAAACGTTTTTTTTTTGGGGGGGGGGCTAAAAGTAATCAAGTGAAATAAAACATTAAAAAGAAACAAGAAAAGGAGCGGCACCCAGGTTTCCAACCACGGACCTTCTGTGAGTCGTTGTTTTTTAACCACCATTTCAGATAAGCCAGATCGCCCCTTTTTCTCCCGCCAAACTGTAGATGCCAGATGCGCCACATCAAAGTATAATATGAATGTGTAAATTCATAACAGTTCAACCTTTATTTAAGTGTAAACTCATCTTTCGTTCAACAAAGTTCGCTCGTGCCTTCATTTAGTGCCAGATTTGAAGTTATGAGTACTGCGGGGTTTTTTTGGGGGGGGGTGTTTTCAACTTTTTAACGATCATCACTGCACACACTTCTTATTTACAGAATGAATTTACTACATTTAGCCCTACAAACCCATATGCACATCAAAACTGTGCATGCGTTTCCTGAAGGCTGAAGGAAGATGGATGAGTGTCATCGGTTCCCAAACATCTTCGAAATCGCACGTAGTCTTTTGACGGTCCATCAGAGCAATTTTGTTATAGGGAACTTCAGACACGGATTTAAAAACTACTGGAACCGACGCCAGTGATCCCAGCTGATCTGTGTGGAAACTCCCATTCGAGTGTGACGGAAAACACTTGCTGCGATCTTTGCGTCGGCTTTAATTACCCTTGAGCCGACGGCTATTCTGTGCAAGAAGTTCGACAAGCACGTAATGAGAGTTAATAACCCGTTGGGATACTTACTACGATGCAATCACCCAAGTGTCGCCGGACTACCTTATTGCAGACATCTGTTTGACTGGCTGTAGTGTGGAGCAGTTGTAATCCGAGCGTTTTATGAGCGGCTTTCCGCGAGGGCTACCGTCATCCCATGCTGCTGCTTCTTCCAGTCAGTGATTTCGTTTCTGCTTCTGCGTCTTGTACGTCTGCCCACCGCCAGTTGGAGCTCCGCAAAGGTCCACTGTGCATGCCATGGCCAGCCACGGCATCTTAGGACAACATTCCGCCCGTGGCGTGCAGCCGGTTGCGTTTCAGATCACAACTAAAACGGTAAATACCCAATTAAGGGAAGGCCATGATCCCAGGCCTGTGATAAGATGGGAAAACACCTTCGGCATTGGACACAGTCTGTAGCTTCTGCTCGTAGGATACCCAAGGTTTGCCTCTTCGCAACTGAGGTGAGTTAGCTAGCGTGAAATTCTCATTATCTCTTCCCTTGATGACATTTTAGTGCTTCTTGTGTACCTTATTGGCATCGTTGGGAAAACTTCATAGGGGAAATGTATTTCTGGTCTACTCTAATGGAGTAATGGCTTCTCTGCATTAGCTATGATTTCATATGTACAACACTTTTGAGGAATCTACTTGTGATCTCTTTTCCAGTGCCCGGTTTTTTCCTTCCTAGGCTCTTCTGTCAGTGGTAAAAATGGCACTGTATATAAAAAAGAGAAACAAAACTGAACTTCGTAGCTCGATAAATCCATTTGAATTGCATTCGCCAGAGTTCAAAATCAACGTTGGTTTTATTTAGCTGTTGAGATATAACCTTGCAAAACACCTCAGATTGTGCGTACTAGGGTTGGGATTTTCCTT